TAGACCCCGACGTAATTTAATCCGGTCTTTCTTTACCGATTGGCTTATAAAAATTGTGTATGGGTGTACACGCCGGTAGAAACGTTTCACAACAAGGGTACAACCGTAAGAGTGTCATTACAAAATACGACAATACGGATGCTAGAGGTTAAAAGGCTTACAATTTAACTTTTGACGTTGGCGACTCCATGTTGTCTCGTCGTGTCACCTAAACAGGACAGTTCACTTCGTCAAAAACCCCTCCATCCGTAACAAAAGGAGAGTAGCCCCTACGTAACTCTTTAGTGCCATTGACCCCCCGACGGAGGGGAAAAGTAGGGAGAGAGTTTACGCGGACACCACGGTTTTTCGGAGGACATGGTTGGACTCGTTGTAAAAACTGAAGTCGTCTTACCGAGCGGGTCCAATCAGGTCCACAATCCCCTTTACTGTCGTTATTGTACTTTGTCTCTTTTTGGCAGTTACCAAGTAGTACTGTAAGTATGCGCTTATGTGGGACTTCCTTTGCCCTTGGTTTGTACAATCTACCTGGTACCAATACTGTGTTATTATGATGTCTTTGTAACACACTGTGACGATTGTACTGACGACCTGGCGGTACGTCCTTCGTAGGTGGGTTGTTTAGTATAAAATTTCTCGGTTTGGTTACCAAAAAGCCAAACAAACAAACAAACAAAAAACAGTCGCCGTAAACACTTTTTGCGAGCGGACTTAACAATTACTCAAATCACAAATCTCAACTCGTAATCGGTTCCTTTCCTTCGTAGTGTAAACTTTGGAATAGTTAACTTACTGTAACTGCACCGGGTGTGAGAAAGCTAACAAGGAACATCACTGTTTATTCACGAAATTGTAGTGAAAAGGTAAACTTTTTGCCAAAGATAATAAGTTCCGTTTCTAAAACCCTACGAAATTAACGAGAAAATTACCTAGGTCGGTGCCAGGTGTAATGTAGTAACAGTCTTACTTACATTACACCTCTAAATTTTTGGTCGAACCACAAAATCATGACTAGCAGTAATGCCAACTCCCTGAGAGTTGTCGTAAATTTTTTTATAGTTTTACATCTTAGGACTACTTAATTCTACTAATTGAGAAACGGGACTATACCGAGAATTTATTAAGGACTGTGACAGCTATTACGTGGAAGTAGCAGAAAACAATATGGGGGTACGGACAAGGAGCAGTAAGTTCGGGTCCGAGACTTCCGAGGACGGGCTACTATCGTATGTCAAATAAAGATTTTGGCTGGTTTCTTTGACTGTAAGTTCCACTTTCACTCCTCAAGAATCATTGACCGTGTTTTTCCTACGTCTGAACTCATATGCACTACCTAATTTGTTGTGTTATAGTACTTATGACTAATTCAATGTTATCAAACGATTTATAAGTGGTAAATTATTTACTTGTGCCTGTTTACCGTCAAACTTTTACACGGTCTACCTTCTTGCGTTTTGGATAAACTACTAGGGTAGGTTAAGTCGAATATGTCGTTTACACATAAAAATCCTTTTACGAAATTGGACTATCTAGTACAGAATCCGGCGTCCACCAAGGGACTAAGGTTTACAAGTAAGTGATCCTTTGCTTTAGGGTTATCTTCTAGTGAAAAATAGTCTTCCTGAAAACTTTCCGTTGGTAATCAAAACTCCAGTACTGCCTTGACACTTTATCAATATGGGGCCAACTTTTCTGATGTGAAACAGTCGTATTGCTCCAATACAATTTAAGTACCTCAAACCCAAACAGGCAAGGTTGACAAACACATCTTAATTGGTATTCTATTACTGATTTACTACTAGTGTGGATTCAGAAACATCTTTGTACGTCGTCGTACGACCCTATTTGAGAGTGCGATTTATGCGAACTGTAAACAAAATGTATTTAGTTGATTCTCGTTTCTCTTAAAGAACGTTCGATTAAGAAATTACGTTATACCCAACGTTAACGAAAACTAACTTAGTGTTAAATGGGAAAACAATTTTTACATTGGAGCATTGACGGAACAGGAAGTAGTCTTTATTTTTGAGAGTCGATCCGGTTTTCCTTCTCTTTTCCTTTTCTGTAGTCCCTTGTAGGCTCTACTTCTTACAGGACCATTGACGTTAGGTACAATCGGTTTTCCTAACGAAACATTTGAGTCATATTAACGTAGGTGTTGTGTCGGTACACAGGAGGCCAGGTGCGATGATTCATAAATTTGATTCTATGTAAATAGAGACCATCAATAGCGTTCAATCGAGAGAGCAGAGAGAGAAGAGAGAGAGAGGAGAAAGAGAGTAGAAACCCATTTGCAGGTTAATTTTCCCTTTAATATTAATAGAAGGTAACAGCTGTTAACAGTAAAACTACTTGTAGGACGACACAACCCTGTCAAGAGTCTGGTCTCGGATCGGTTGGTCACATTCGTTTCGGAAGTGGGTGATTCGACATAAATCTTGACTTATGTCTAATCTACTCAACCTCTACTTTCATAAGTTGCGTTCTTACGAAAATATCAAACACACCGGGGAATATACTTCTCAAGAATATGGTAGTAGTAACCTGAAAATTTTTCTGTATATAATTCGTATAGTTTATAGGTTATACGTGTTATGTTTTATCTTTATATATTAGTGACTTAAAGTACATGTAGACGTTTCGGTTTGTACAAGTGTTATAAATTTTCAATTTAAGACATTTGTATGTAAAGGGGTTTGCAAAGCTATGGAAGTTATAAAACTCAAGCAAGTCTTTAAAAGTTTCACTTGTCTTAGGAAAAATTAACTGATTTCCAGATAAAAACGTCTAATTCAATTCGAGGGTAAGTTAATCATTTATTACGTACCGTCACACTCTTTTTCAAAATCTCTCATGACGGGTACTGTTCACTCAATCCGTTAAATGAACAGGGCTTATGTAAAAGTGACAGGTCTACCTGTGTTTAACCCCGGTGGACCTTAGAAAGAAGAAGCCGGTAGCATAAAATTCGTAACAAGGGTGCCAAAAAAATTGCTGTGGGCGATTGCATTCACTGCGCCTATTCTAAAATGACACGTAGTGTGGTATCCCAACCCATAGCAAACCTAAAAATTGCTAAGGCAAAGACGAAAAGTCTAAGGTCAGTAAAAGCCAAGGCTAAGGCCAAGAAACTCTCCCATTTTTATTCAGAGGCACTGTTTTGACCCTCTTTATATATAATATACTTATTGTAATTCAGTTATAACATAAGGATAAATGCTTAGTGGTATTGACAAAAATTAAGACTTATTGCACACATAGACCTTCATCGTTAATCCTAAGAGTGGTCTTTGCTTAATTGGTCGTAAAACGTAACACACGGAATCCCATTACACAAAGATATACCCTAGTCGGTACTCTCTTCCATCGTTCAACAGGACCTGACAGACAGGGAAGGATAGCTTTTCCACGAATGTCGACGTATGGGACCGATGGTGAGCCTATCTGGTCTTCCTCACGTTGGCCGCTGGTGTGAACCACAGGTTGGTGTACGAGAGACGCTTGTGGAACCGGTGTCGATATGATGTCCTATGATGTCAGGTATTGGGTTGTGTACAGGTTGTGTATCCGGATTATTATTAGTTATTTTTATGTAAATATAAATTCCGGATATCCGATCGCAAAAGATGTTGAGTTTCTACGAACGTGCGAATGTGTATAGGACGTTATTATGGTACGACGTCGACGGGTCGACGGTACAACATTTTCATATATTTATCATAAAAGTAAAGTAATTAACATGATAGATATCGGGACGGAAGTTATTTGTTTGACTGGTGAGGGAGCACGGAGGAGGCTCAGGACCCCCAGGCCCCTAACTCTGTCGCGCTCCTGTGTCCCTTCGACGAGTGAAGTATTTCCTTTACTCCCAGTTGAGTATATGTTGTCCTTCGATTTCGCAATTATTTGGAGTAAATGCACAATCTCTTTCTTGTATTCTTTCAAACTTTTTTATAACTCCGACAATTTGCCGCGTCGCCTAGACGACACACATCTTTCTCTCTCTCTCTCTCTCTCTGCGACTCGACGTGGCACGTCGCTAGTCGACTATGCCCTCGTATC